AAAAAAATAAAAAAGTGGTATCCTGAATGCCCAATTTGATTTTCTCACTTATCTTCAGGATAAAATTGGGGGACTATTCTTCTACAGCCCTAAGATATTTATAACATTTAATTCCGAAAACCTTTTAGAAGTAAGTTTTTAGGGGCACCTGGGTGGCTCAGTCCGTCAAGCGGCCAACTTCGTCCCAGGTCATGATCTCGCAGTTGAGGAGTTTGAGCCCAGCATCAGGACAGCTCAGAACCTGGAGCCTGCTTCAGAGTCGCTGTCTCCCTCTCTCTTTGCCCTTACCCAACTCACACTATCTCTCTGTCAAAAAATAAACATTAAAAAAAATTTAAAGAAAAAAAAGTAAATTTTTATAAGTGGATTATATTTTGAAATTGATAAACTGCTTACTCCCAGATACCCCAAATTTAGATTACAGACCTTAAAAATATTAAACACACACCTACCATATGACCCAATCATTCACAGCTACTTATCCAAGAGAAAATAAAGCATATATTCATACAAAAACTTGTACCTAAATATTCACAGCAACATTTGTAATACCCTAAAACTGGAAATCTGTCTACTAAACAGGTAAATGAAAAACCAAATTGTAGTAGAACCATAAGCTGAAATGCTACTCAGCAACGAAAAGTAAAAAACTATACCCAACAAAAGGGAATCTCAACACAATCCTACTCGAACAAACCAGACCAAAACAAGGAGTATACATAGGATCCCATCATATAAAAGTTTGTATTTGAGAAAATCTAATCTGGCAAGCTAATCCACACCACGGTTTCTCAGCCTCAGCACTACGGACTGCCGCATGCATCCCTGACCTCTACCCAAGAGGTTCCAGTAGCAACCCCATCCCTCAGTCTTACAGGTGAAAAACAAAAATGTCTCCAAGACACTTCTAAATGTACCCCGGAGAGGAAAAAAGTCAACTGTGTTGAGAACCACTGATGCATACTGAAGGAAAGCAGATCTATGCTTGGGGGTAGGGGGAGAGAACTCCAAAGATTACAGAGGAGAGAAAAAACTTGTGGGCGTCACAGACATATTTATTACACCGATTCAGTGAGGGATTCATAATACTGACACCAAGCTGCACGTTTCCAATACGTGTGCTTATTGTGCCAATAACACCAATACAGTTTCTGATGTTTATTTTTATTTATTTTGAGAGAGAGCACATGTGCACAAACGGGAAGGGCAGTGAGAGAGGGAAAGAGAATCCCAAGCAGGCTCCGCACAGAGCCCACTTCGAGGCTTGATCCCACAAGCTGTGAGATCATGACCTGAGCCGAAATCAAGAGTCAGACAAGAGTCAGACGCTTAACTGAGCCACCCACACACCTCAGCAATACAGATTTTTTATAAAGTTTCTACTTCTGCTTGTGGAATTTCAAACTAACTCTAATAACTTGATTTGTAACTCCAACACAAAGTAGATTTTGATTTTTTTAATGTTTATTTACTTTTGAGAGAAAGAGAGAGAGAGAGAGAGAGAGAGAGAGACAGAGTGCAAGCAGGGGAGGAGCAGAGAGAGGGAGACACAGAATCTGAAACAGACTCCAGGCTCCGAGCTGTCAGCACAGAGCCCGACGCGGGGCTCGAACCCACGAACCACAAGATCATGACCTGAGCTGAAGTCGGACACTAAACCCACTGAGCCACCCAGGTGCCCCAACATAAAGTAGACTTTAAAGTAATCTTTCAGAGAGACTGAAGCCACAATAAGAGATATACCTAGACCAGCTAAACGTCTTACCAACATTCTGCTTGCTAACCGGCTCTCAACTCCCAATGAACATGGTCTACTCTGGCACCCGATCACTCACCCTAAGTTCTAAACAGATGCAACATGAAATTTTTTTCTAACATTCCGTCAATCTATTTCATGATACAACAAAAACCAAGCGTAAGATACCTGTTAAATACCTTCCAAGTCATTAAGATGAAGTATGTTTCCTATGGCTTATGGAATTGTTTCACTGCATTCTTTGAGCTAATCATTCTTCATGTCACTGCCCCACCGTGCTAGAATTATACTGTACCTAAAGACCACAACTAAAAAGACAGTGCCTGCTCCACAAAAAAGTGCTACATTTGCTGAATCCCTACTCTCTTTCTCTTATGCCTCCTCCACGGCATTCAATGCTCTCATTGCTTTTAGTTTTTCAACAAAGAGTGTAGTTTGAATGGCAACCCCAACACCCTGAAAACCTGATCATATCTCCTGAGGGAAAGATTCCCTCCTCCTCCAATCCCTGCTCACATTAGGTCCTCAGCTCCTCTAATGTATTTACTGTTCACAGCACTACTCATGACTCCAGCTCTCTATCTGGCTGGTTTTTTAGCCGCAAAACCAGCAAAACCTGTACCCAAGGTAGCTCAAGGGGATGCTGTGAGAATCAACAAACAATCGAACAAAGAGCAGCTTGGTAAATGTTAAGCACAATATGCAAAGGAGCAGGACAGGTAACTAAGCATCACATATCCAGGTCTGAACCCCAACGTCACCATCTCCTTGCTAGGCTTCAGTTCCTTACTAGCCACACTTACAGGTCTGAAGGAGACTCAGCACACAGTAACAGTGGCACTGACAGATTTCTGTAACAATTTTGACGGGGATGGATTCAGTCCTAGCCTTCTGCTGTTACACAGTGATTAAAAGTCCACCAGGGCGGTGGCTGAGGCCACCTAGGCACAGCCGCTACAGTCTACGGGAGGAGCAATTCAGCTTTCAACTCAGACTGTAAAACATGGTAATGGAAGAGCCCATCTGAGAACCCCAAAAAAAACAACCTAATCTTTGCAGAGGATCTCTTTGCCTAGCCATGAATAAAATCAAAGAAAAAAGTAAAAGCAAGGAGCTGGCAGCATGCATTCAAATCATCTGGGGCCCCCATTCTAAAGTTGAGCTCACAATGTAATGTGCCTCAAAAATCCTTTTTATCAAGTATACACTTTTTAAAGTACAGCAAACACTCAAATCATTGCAAAGCAGAGAATTTGGTTTAAATAAAACACTTCCACTGACTATGTTTAGAGAGGTTACCGGGGTAGCACTGTGGAAGCAACAAGGCCCTTGGAATCAAGATGGCCACCCTGGTCTCTGGGTCAATTTCCTTAATGAGTTTTCTCAATTGTTTAAAAAATATATATATATATATTTTTTTTTTTTTCTCGGTTCTACAACAGAGTTAACGTTACCTCCCTGGGAAGCTATACTAAATACAGTTTCTTATTTTTGAAATGACCAGTCCATCTCTCAATTTTCTGATTCAGCCACAAGATTAATCTAGAAAAAGAATAGGTTAAGTCACTGATTTTAAATATATGGTGCAACCTTTACTTAACTGGGGGCGGGACACCTAAACCCACATGTAGTCCTCTAAAATGAATGCTTTTTCCCCAACAAAACATACTAAATATACTCTAACTCTGAATCTTGATTGCCTTTAGATGAAAATTTCTCATCAAAATAAAACAAGTCCTCCCACACACAGGAGAAAAGGAACTGGAAAACAAGCTTTCCTATCCGGGGTCCTCAATCAAGCTTGCTTGCTCATTGCTTTTTTGCTGTCCAGCACACTCCACTCCCGCTACAGACAGGTCAGAAGAACCGCTTCACTCAATTCCCATCCCTAAAAAGGCTTTCAAGATAAAAATCTGGATTCCTTAGCCTGGAATTCATTGCCCACCAGCTGGCTCCCAGTATTTTAGCATAAAATGCTAAAGCAGCTTCAGTTCCTTACAAATAACAAAGCAAACACCTAAAATCCCTAGTCTTTAGACACTCTCCTCCCAGCCCCTCCCCATTCATCTTCTCTCATCCACCTCCAACAGCTCCCTGGGGGCAGGTTAGGTTGGAGGGAGGGTGGCCCCTCCAAGCTCCCAGCCGGATAATTCCTTTTACTTCTCACAACGTAATTACCCTACTACAGAAATGTAAATTGCCTCCTCTTCTGGGCAAAGACTTTATTCCAAAGAGCTCGGTTTCCTAAGCTTCCTCACACCAAAAAAAAAAAAAAAAAAAAAAAAAAAAAAGTTTTCCCCCAGCCACACCAAACCGATCTAAATGTTGCTAATTAATATATCCTCTATTAAGCAGTCCTAAACTCTGGATTCTTTCCAACAAGGGGTATTTTCTCTCTAAAAGCCTTCAGGTTCTTCCTAATAGTCCACATCTTAAATGAATCAATCACAAAATGACCACTTGAAAATGCACAGGAAAATGGGAAATTTGAAAACTGTCCCCCAGCTGCTATAATTTATCCAACTTCTCACCTAACATGGTTCCAGCAACACTTCACCCTGTGATAAATGCTTTAAAAGATAAAATACGGGAAAAATATGTATCTTAAACGCCCCCAACTATGGCCCTCAAAAATCCTACAAAGCTCCCTAAATAGATGATGAAAAAAGTGCAAGTGAACATCTCTTTCCAGTTTTCAACAGTCAAGTATTGGAAAAACTTCCAGGATGCCTTTTCTGTTGTGATTTCTCAGGACCAGTAACCATGGTATTTTGTTCCTCTCCACCTAAGAAGAGAAAGTTTAACAAAGCTAGTGTTGACTGAATGCTCATTAACAAAGCAATTTCACTACGTTCACTATCAAACTCTAGTTACGCATATTAAAAATTTCTGGGAAGGCAAATTCATAGAGAGAAAAATATATACAAGTAACCAGAACCTGGGGAAAGGGAGAGAATAAGTTACTGTATAAAGGCTCCAGTTTGTTTGGGAAGATGAACGTTCTGCACATGGACAAGGGTTGATAGCTGCACAACACGGTGAATGCGCTTAATGCCACTGAATCGCACATTCAAAAATGGCTAGAACTGTAAATTTTATGTTATGCACGTTACCACATTTTTTTTTTTTTTAACTTGTGTTAAAATCAAATGTGTGCCCAGGCTTCCCCCCTCCTGGCCGGACAGCTGTTGGTCACAGCCACGACGTCTTTCAGGTGACTGTAATCAGAATGGGTGGGTTTCAGGGGAGACACAGGATAACACTTCGAAGCTTTAATTAAACTTGAAAAACCAAGGACCCCGCACAGAGCCCCACGCTGGGTTTAAAAGGTGACGAAGTTTGCAAGTGGTGAGCCCGCCTGATAATGGAAAAGCTTCCCCTGGAACACGGAAGAAGTTTCTTTCTTTTCCGCTACCCTTTCTTGTTTCTAAGGGTGAACACCGAGCAGCAAGGTCCGAACTCTCTACAAATACGTACTGCGCACCTGGGGAGGAGCAAAGGACGCGACGAGGGACTCTGGCCGGAGCCACAGCGCAGGGCTAGCGCGGCTCTGGCCGAGGCACTTCCCGCGGGGCGGGGGAAGGGGAAAAGGAAGAGGAGGCGCCCCGAACCGGCCTCGCGGTCCCGGCCGAATGAAATCTACCCGCCTCGGCTGCCGTTTACCGAGGCTCACCGCGCGCGAAACCCTGCGCGCGCACTCCCTCCCCTCCCCCCACTTCACGGATCGGGAAACTGAGACCACGGACGGTGGGGGAGGGCGGGTTGGGAAACCACTCAACCCAAGGTCACCCGACAGGCGAGCGGGCCGCGGACTCTGCGACTCCGGGCCGCGCCGACCATCAACCTCGCGTGCGCGGTGGGCCCCGGCCGCAGCAGGCTCATGCTGGCCCGGCCTAGAGGGACCTGGTGAGAGGGATAATGACTGAGGCTCAGAGGAGGGTGACCTTGAGGCGTCCACGGGGTCGCCCGGCTTCACTCCGCCTGGCCGCCTCCCCACCCTCGAAGCGCTGGGAAGGCTCGCCGAGGTCGCGCCGGTGGAGCCGCTAACAGACGAACGAAACGAGCTGCTGCCGGCTGCTGCGCGGGCGATGACTGGCCCGGGACAAGGAGCCGTGAATACTTCACCTTTTCGGGCCTGGGCCCTTGTTTACTTTTACACGTGTCGCCGGCGTGCCGCTCTCCTCCTCCATTTTAGGTTCCGTCGCCGCCACCTCGGCCGCCGCTTCGACCCCTGCCGCCATTTTCTCCGCGTCTGGGCTTTGTGTGAGGGTACGGGCTGCGCGGCGCTCCAGGTGCTCACGGACTCGGCGCGACCAGTAACGCCTGCGCGCGCAGGACCGGCTCCCGGCCTCGTTCCTCCTTCTGCCACGGGCCACGCCCCTGCCCTCGGGCTTTCACGTTCTGCTGTATGCGTAAGCGCACACGCGCAGCTGTTATTCATTCATTTACTCATCATGACGAATTTGCTTTAGGCACCTATTGGATACTCCACCAGCTCTCCAAGTCTAGCAGGAGAGTATCTCCCCACCTCCCCACCTGGACCTACTCATTCCCAGCTTTCTGTAATCAGAGCTGGTGAGGCAGTGAGAAAGTTCTGTTTCCTAGAACATAGAGGAATTAGCTAGGCTAGGAGGGCCAGGATACTGGTCAGAACAGGCAGAACTGCTGTGCAAAATGCTGTCTCCCTAAGCAAGTATCATCCTTGCACTGGGCAGAATATTCCAGGCCCCACTGGCCTGTCTCCCTACCACATTGGGAGCTCCTGGGTGCAGGGCTCACGCCTCCTCATACTGAACCCATTAACCAAGAACCAAAACATGTGGCTGAGGACTTAGCATGTGCTCACAGATGTTTCTTTCTTTTTTTTTTTTTTTTTAATTTTTGAGTTTATTTATTTATTTTGAGAGAGAAAGAGAGAGGGAGGGACAGAGAGAGAAGCCCAAGCAGGCTCTGTACTGTCAGCTCGGAGCCCGACGAGGGGCTGGATCCCATTGGACGGAGAGATCATGGCAAGCCGAAATCAACAATCAGATGCTCAACCGACTGAACCACCCAGGGGCCCGAATCACGGATGTGTCTTGAGTGAATGAAAAAGCAAGAATCCAAACATGATGGAAGAAATTAGTCACAGGCCAGGAGAGTCCCTTAACTGGGGCCCCTTTCTGCCTACCCCTGGATTCCTTTGTCCTGAAGGCTTGACTCTGTCCAGAAACAGGTTTTCAAGGGCTGTTAGAGGATGTGTCATGAGGAAACCACATTGGCTTGGGAAGAGGCCAGAGCCCAGGAGAGTATTTAGAGGCCTCAGGCTCCCTTTCCCCACAGCACCTCCCTCCCCCGTGTCTCTGGAACTTTGAAGTGCTTTGCTGGATCTCGCAGAAGTTTCCATCCAGCCATCAAGCTCTCTCTGGGCTTACAAAGGGAAAGTTCTCTTTACCCCTTCTCTACACCTCATCAAGCTCTGGAGGAATATCTCATCTGCCACACCCTCCTAGCTGCTTAAATCTTCCTGGCGATTCTGACCCAGGCTGAGAATTCCAGGCCCAGAGAAGAAATCCAGTAGCCCAGCCTGACAGAGGGTAGGCCCCACCCCCACATAGTTCCCAAACTCGTGTCTCACAAAATTTCCTACTATCACCCATCTTCAAGGACCTCCTCCTCCCACACCCCCTCTGCTCTACTAAAATCTCCTGGGCACACCCCCTTCTTCTGGGGCCCCACTGGAATCTAAGCTTTACTATCCTCTCCCTAGACTGTAGGGGGCAGAAGGAGCCTCACAAACCTCTGAGTCCCCTTGTTCAGCGCGGCTCAGACAGGGTGGAGGAGACCATAACAGTCTAAGAGAAAGAGGGAGCAAAGTCCGAATCAAATGCAAAGCAACAGGGACAAGAAGCCACCTGGCTCTCCAGTCCCTTCTCCTGCAGTGTGACTGGAAATCAGGGATAAGCCAGGCCCTGGTTGAAGAGACAAATTCTTCCAGGCCAAGCTCCTACGGGCTGGGGGCTGGTTGACTTAACCCAACACTGCCCCCAGGAATTTTGCAGTCTCCTGAACTATTATCTTCTTCACACTTTCCTTTGGCACACATTCTTTTCCTTTAAAGAAAGAGCCTTTTGGGGGCGCCTGGGTGGCTCAGTTGGTTAAGCGTCCAACTCTTGACTTCAGCGCAGGTCATGATCTCATGGATCGTGGGATCGAGCCCCGTTTCAGGCTCTGCGCTGTTAGAGGCTCTGCTTGGGACGCTCTCTCTCCCACTCTCTCTGCCTGTCCACTGCACGCACGTGTGCAAGTACACACTCTCAAAATAAGCATTTAAAAAAAAAGAAATATGCTTTTAAATTCTACTTTACATCACAGCACATACTGAAAACTTGCTTATTGTGAAAATTAAGATGATGCTGTTAAAGTAGAAATTCAGTCATGCTCACTGCCAACAGCTCTGAGCCTAAGACTTGCTCTCTCTTGCGAAGGTTAAGGGTCATTAAAGACCACCTAGCACCAAACTACATACTTCTCCTCACTTTATATAAAAGTGTTAGAAGAGGGGTGCCTGGGGTGTCTGAGTGGCTCAGTCGGTTAAGCATCTGACTTCGGCTCAGGTTGTGATCTCACAGTCTGTGAGTTCGAGCCCCGCGTCAGGCGCTGTGCTGACATCTCGGAGCCTGGAGCCTGCTTCGGATTCTGTGTCTCCCTCTGTCTCTGCCCCTCCCCTGCTCATGCTCTGTCTCTCTCTGTCTCAAAAATAAATAAAAATATTACAAAAGAAGAAGAAGAAGAAGAAGAAGAAGAAGAAGAAGAAGAAGAAGAGAGGTGCCTGGGTGGCTCAGTCAGTTAAGCGTCTGACTCTTGATTTTAGCTCAGGTCATGATCTCACGGTTCGTGTGTTCAAGCCCCTCATCAGGCTCCGTACAGATGGTAAGGAGCCTGCATGGAATTCTCTCTCTCTCCCCTCCCTCCCCCAAAATAAACAAATAAACTTAGAAAAAAAAAAAGTGTTAGAAGAGATTTGCAAAGGAAACGACTTTCTCTTTTCGTGATGGCACATCCTGGGGCTTCTGCACTACCTTCAGGAGAAGCACTCCAAAGTTGCCCTGAGAGAGCGGGTGCCAGACCTGTGTAGAGTAAAAAGCTGCAGAGGGCCCTGAGCACTGGCCGAGCTGAGACACTTGGGGACCATCCGTTCTGCAGACCACCAGAAGCCTACAGTCATGCTCACCCTTCCTGCTGCCTCTCTCCTGCCCCTCTGCCCCTCAATCACAGGACTCCAAGTGCGGCTCATCTGCCATTGGGCTTCTCCCACGGACCAGGCAGGTGTCAGCCTCCAGGCCTTTGCCCTTTGCTGTTCCTCCCCCCGCCCCCCTCCCAAAGGCCAGGCTGGCTTCCCCCTGCTGTTCATCTAAGGCAGAAAGGCTTTTTCTCCCTCTCTGGGTGACCCATACCCCAGATGGGCATTCGTGAAGAAAACAATAGAACACACCAGACACTAAGCCCGTCAGGGATGTGTGACCTTGGGTGAGAAACCCCACCGCTCGGAGCCTCCGTTCGCTCATCTGCAAATGGGACTAATTAAGGGAACCCCAGAACCCACCTTTCAGATCTGCTCTGAGTAATAAACGTGGCCCAATGCAGAGAACCCTCAAATGTACACAGTTCAGCAAGAGCTCAAGAAGTAGGTGCTGTTACTACCATGACCATATTTTTCTTCCTTTCCCGAGTCCTCCCGGAAGGGGAAGCAGAAAGCTCAGCACAGGGGGCCATGCGGACTGGGGGTCAACCCTCACTCTACTTCCTAGAGCCGTGGGGGCCTTGGACACAGGCTTCCCCGCTCTGAGCCCCGGTCTTATCCGTAAGATGCGTGGTCCACTCTAAGTGCAAAGTAAGTGGGAACTGTTCTTACAACTATTTATTTTAAGTCATTTATTATATAACCCTGCTCCCTGCTCTTCACTTGAACACTCAGGCTTTGCTGCTTCCGGTGTTGCGCAACAGATCCCTTCAAACCAGCTGAGGGTTCGGTTAGGTTTTTTTGAACCTCTGTATGGTCCCTAACTCCCTTCAGGTCCCAGGGGCCTCCCTTCGAGGCCTGGGTTCAGAAACGTAACTGACAAGTCCGTTTTGTCCAGCAAGGGCTCCTTTTATTCGTTCGGGGTGGGTTTTTGAAACGCAGTGCAATTTTATAAAGTCGAGGGTGCCAGGAAAGCGAGCCTGCTGGGTGCAGAGAAGCGCAAGAAGCTTGCGGAACCTCCCAGCCCCATGGGCGCCCTGGTTCACCTATGGCCACGGCTGCTGGCCCACAAGGGGCCAGGTGGACCTCAGGACGAGATCAGGGTGCCTGCTCCATCCAAAGCTCAGGACCACGTCCATCTGTCCTCAGGTACGACGGTGTGCAAAACAATTGGAAAACATCTTCGTGTGGGATCACAGAACCAGCTCCGCTTGGTGGCTCTTGGCCTCAAAAGCATTCTGGCCGTGCAGGAAGGGTCAGGCAATTTCGTCCTTCCAAATACCAGGGCGTCACCAGCTGTCTCTGGCCCTGCTGGCCCGGCCTTCACACGGGTGTCTCCTCTGCCACCTTCTTCAGGAGTCCAGCTGCCAGTGAGGAGTGCGGGGTGCCCTCAGAGCCGTCTGCATCCCGGATCTTCAGGCGAACTTTCTGGTTGGTCCTTCTCCACTCGGAATACAGCTGGCAATGGTAGCGGAAGGAGACCTACAGGGCAGTGTTGGGGGGGTGGTTGGGAATGCCAGCCGGCTGGTGTCCACCCCCAAGGGAGGAACACTGAGCCCCTGGGGCACCTGCTTTGGCCCAAACCAGGGCTGGGCTCATGCTTCCGGAACGCAGGGACAGTGTCCATACGTTTCTCATACAGACTGTGTACATACACCCATTCACTCTCCTTGGAAAGCTCCCCACTGACCTTCTGGACCCTGCAAAAATGCAGGGCCCTGCAGCAGGGAGCAAGGAGCTCCCTTTCTGTTTCTCTCAGGATGGGACCCCAGTGGTACAGTCTCTCGGAAGGGATTAAATGTCAGTGGGTCATACAGTCGCCAAAACCCGGAAGCCATCAAGACGTCCTTCAGTAAGTGAGTGGACAAAGAAACTGGGGGGCATCCGGACAAGGGAATATTACTCGGCGCTAAAAAGAAATGAGCTCTCCAGCCATGAAAACACACGGAGAAACCTTAAATGCATACTACGAAGTGAAAGGAACCAGTCTGCAGGGCTACGCTGTAACTATGTAACTAC